ACATACATACATACAGTAGCGCTCAAAAGTCTTCGGTGAAATGCTTTGTTGCGGCTTTGTATGTTTTGAAGAAGAAGGAAGAAGAAGAAGGAAGAAGAAGAAGGAAGAAGAAGGAGAAGAAGGAAGAAGAAGAGGGAAGAAGAAGGAAGAAGAAGAAGAAGGAAGAAGAAGAAGGAAGAAGAAGGAAGAAGAAGAAGGAAGAAGAAGAAGGAAGAAGAAGAAGGAAGAAGAAGGAAGAAGAAGACGGAAGAAGAAGAAGAAGAAGAAGATCTTACAAAAAATTGAAGTTGGAAACAACATTATTATATTATAAGTGAGATGGGCTTGAGTTTTTTCGTGAGGAAAAACTCGTGCCTGAAACACGCCGTATTCAGACTTTTTATATGTAGTAAGTAAGATGAGCGTTTCCTAGATCCTACTCACTACATATAAAGCGCTTCGTCTGCAGTTCTGTCTGTCATCTGCCTGTATGTCTGTCACGAAAGTCCTTAGCTTCTTCAAATCTGCCTGGAGAGACCGGGTCAAGCGTGGGATGGGTGGGCCGTGCCCAGGGAAGTATAAAACACACATCAGCTTGGTGGAGCTCCGCCCACAGTGGGCGTGGCTTGCATCGAAATGAGCTGTACTGAGCACCAGCACCATGCTTTCAGATTCAGTCACAAGACGGCTTCAAAACTGGGGTTTAAATGTGGCTAGAGGTGAGCATTGGTGAGATAATCGAACTGGGGAGGCCCAACCCCAATGGGTGGGGCGTTCTCCAAAAATGCATGTTTTATGAAAACATTCATAACTCGGTTTGGAGAAGGCCAACAGAGCAGGAAAAAGTTAATGTAGGGGAAGCATTGTCGAAGGTGTCTCCAGCATAAATGACGAACACGTCATGTTTGTTGGCAGCTAAGATAGTGTTCTTCTTTTCTGTTGATCGACAGCGGTCGTACACAAAGCTAAGCGCTAAGCGGTAGCAGGAGTGGATCATGTTTGAATGAACCTCTACTTCGTACATTGGAGGAAAACTGTTCTGCAAACCTGCTGAAGCCTCAGTAAGACGAAAATAGGGAACAAGGAAAAACGCGTGAAGGAAGAAATGCTCTAAGAGCTATAAGTGAGAGGTTCCCAATATTGTATAGAATACACTGGTTTTCTATGAGTAGTCAGCACAGTGACATTGAAGGAATAAAAATCTTTCCCGGTCGTTCTAGTGTTTTTATTGATTTAATTGATCCAGTTAGCAACCGTAAGTGTTAGGTATACCTTATCTGGAAATGTCTCGTGCTGACTCAAACATACGAGGTATTTTAGGTCATCATCAGGTCGTGGAACAAAGCTGAAAATCATTCAACATCAAAACGCATGCTTAAGAAGAAGGAATCATCCATTTACCTTATATTACTGCTGACAATGTAACCGTGATCGTCTTTTTGAATTTCGTCCTCAATTTCAGCTTGCAGGGATTCCTGACTAACTCCAAATGGCTCTGCAACAGCACACAAATGAATAATGTTGAAAAAACGGAGCACTGTATTTCACAGAAATGAAGTTTTGGACGAAGACACCAACTGAAAAAATGCGAAAATTTGAGGCGTGTTTCTCCTAGCCAGGTAACAATGTCATGACCATCAGGATCGGTACTCAGTGCCCATCCAAGACGTGGTGGTGGTTTCCCTAAACACAGCTAGACTCTTGCCTACACATTAATTTCTGCGGTGTATTCATCACGTTTCGCCATGATAATACCTTTTCTCGACAGGCACGACTGTACTACTTTTTCTCCGGCTATCGCGTTTATCGTATGACTTTTCTTGAACAACTTAGGCGATGTTGGTCGAACTGGAACTGGCTGTTGCATTACTGAACACAGATATGCCTAGTTATGGTGGTTATATACGTGACGCTTTTGCTCTTTCACTTTCGAACACTTTTGCTCCCAATTCTCCAACTTTTCGACTGGTATTACGGCTAACGTCGGTAGCGCGACTCCTCTGAATGCACCGCTTTAGACGGGCATTATAGTGACACTTCCAACAAAAGAGAAAAAGGGAGCTGTTCTTTTTTTGTTTTATGACAGGACTTATATATATATATATATATATA